AATGGTGCATTATCTACAAAGTTTTGAGAAAAGAAAGGATGACTCCAGATGTAATTTGAGTATGAAGGCTCAGGGATGTAAAGGACCCACAAACACTTGTTGGGAAGAACTGCTTGATAAGCAAAGCCAGCCAATTAAAAGATCAATCAAAAGAAAGCACTCAAGCAGAGAAGCTATGACAAAAGAACTGTATGTGAGCATTGGACCCATTTACATATTAATAGAACTAATGCTAAATAATCATTGCAATTATGGTATCAAAATGTAAATATTATAAATTTGGACAGTGTAAAAATAATCATACAGTCAAAAATTGGTAGGTGAGGCCAGGCGCTGTGGCTCACGCCTGTAATCCTAGCTCTTGGGAGGCCGAGGCGGGCGGATTGCTCAAGGTCAGGAGTTCAAAACCAGCCTGAGCAAGAGAAAGAAATTAATTGGTCAACTGATATATATATAAAAAATTAGCCGGGCATGGTGGCGCATGCCTGTAGTCCCAGCTACCCGGGAGGCTGAGGCAGAAGGATCACTCGAGCCCAGGAGTTTGAGGTTGCTGTGAGCTAAGCTGACGCCATGGCACTCACTCTAGCCTGGGCAACAAAGCAAGACTCTGTCTCAAAAAAAAAAAAAAAAAAAATTGGTAGGTGAGGAAGAAGTGATGGGGGTATCAAGAGAGTTCTAATGTTCTCATCTTTCAAAGGTAGGTCATGCTATCCAAAATAAAATCATGTAGTTAAAAAAACTAAATATTTTTCACAATCACCTTTATTTAACTCTAGAACATGGAGTCATAAACTACAACTTGAGGGCTAGATTTTATAAATAAAGTTTCATTGAAACAGGCTGGGTGTGATGCCTCACACCTGTAATCCCAGCACTTTGGGAGGCCAAAGCAGGAGGCTCCCTTGAGGCCAGGAGTTTGAGACTATCCTGGGCAACACATCGAGATTCCATCTCTACATAAAAATTTTAAAATTATCCAGGCATGGTGGCACACACCTGTAGTTCTAGGTACTCAGGAGGCTGAGGCAGGAGAATCCTTGGGCTCAGGAGTTTGAGGCTGCAGTGAGCTATGATCACACCATTGTACTCCAGCCTGAGCAACAGAATATGACCCTGTCTCTTTAAAAAAAAGAAAAAAAAAAGGAGGAGGGGGGAGGAGGAGGGAGGAGAGAGGAGGAGGAGGAGGAAGAGGAAGTTTCATTGAATTCAGTTTCAACATATTAATTTTGAGGGAAACGCTAACATTCAGACCATAACGCACAACTTTACATATTGTTTGTGCTGCTTTCCAATTACAACAGATATGAACAGAGCCCCCACACCTAAAACATATTATGTGGCCCTTTAAGAAAAAATTTGCCAGCCCTTGCAGAGGATTGCTTTTAAGTCAGAGGAATCTTGTGATAGAGAAATATTTATTGGAAGTTTAATAATTTGTTAGGCTTAATCCAACCCTTTTCCTCCTATTAAGTTCATGTTAAATTAAGTTTAATAATTAAGTCCTATTTTTATACAATCATATATCAATTACTCTAAAGATGTCAGGGTGATGGATTACCTAATGATATTTGGCATAATTTCTTAAACTTTTGCCTTTTGTATTTCTGCCTTATTTGGCATCTTTATAATGAACCTATATCATTTTTACCAAAATAATAAAATAAAATGTTTTTTCTATTTGAAAACGCTGGAAGCAAATATACCAAAATGTTAACGATGGTTAAGTCTGGCTGATGGGAATATAATTGCTGTTTTCTTTAAGCTTTTCTGTATTTTTAAATTTTTTTTTTAAAAATTTAAGCTTTTGTAGGTTTAGGCATCAAGTGATAAAGTTCTGAATTATAATTTTTGAAATAATAACGAAGGATCAGATATAAGGGACATTGTTCTATTGATAATATGATTCTTTTATAATATGAGTAAAGCATAATTCCATAGTAAAGTGTAATAAAAAACCATGACAAAGAGGAGAAACCACAGTAGATGATATTTGAAATCTTTTAGGCAGTCAGCATATTCATAAAGCTGTTTTCTTTAGAGTGCACCAATCTCAATGTATCTTTCCAATCTCATTCTCCCACCAAACCCTCTTTCTCATACACACCCTATACATCAGCCATGTAGGTTCTCACCTCCAGTGAAATCTCCATGCATTAATATGCTATTTTGCTTTGTTGCCACCTTTCTTTCTACCTATAATTATATTCTCCTCTCCACCTAATATAATTCGATGCTTCCTTTAAGATGTCATTTAAATGTCACTTACTGTAGTACATCTCAACCTTGGCTGTACATCAGAATCACCTGGAGAGCTTTATAAAAATACCAAGGCTCAGGCCCCAGCCCAGCTATTCAGAATTAATTGCCCAGGGTTGGGGCCCAGGCAGCAGTATTTTTTAAAAGCTCCCCAAGTAATTCTAATATACAGCCAGGGTTGAGAGTTGCTGCAAAGCCTTCTGCAATACCAGCAGGCAGAGTTAATTACTCCCTCTTCCACGCTCCTATAGTCCTTAGCTTTTCCATTGCTCATGAAATTTAATGCTCATTGTATTAAAGTTAGTGTTATATAGTAAGTGCTCAGTAAATGCTGAAGGTTGTTACAGTCCTTCTCCCTCCAACCAGGCATATGTGGAAGTGGTTATCCTTACCATGGGAATGGGACAGATGTTTCACATCTAGCGACACTGTCTGAGGAATCTATTTCTGTACACTATAACCGTCCCTTCTATTCTGTTACACACACACATACACACACACGCGCGCGTGCGCAATACACACACGCAACACACACAGAGACATCCCACTGCCTTGTCAGCATAGTTGGTGGGCCTGGCTTTTTACTTTGTTTAGATTGTTGCAATTTAAAGAATTTAAAGAAGCAGCCTGACAGAATCCGAACATCACCTGCCTTCTGTCCTGCCCTTTGTGTCATCCTTTACATTGTGTTTTATGTTGGATCCTGCTACTTTAGCTTTCCAGAGCATGTTGTCAGGTATTCTTTGTCAAAACCTTTCAGAAAATCCAGATAAATTATGCTCTGTGCCCTGAAACTGCCAAACCTATATTTTACATCTTCACAGTGTTTGACAATTTTATTTAAGTTGAATCTTTCTCTCTTCCCCCAATTTACCTTTGCCTCACTGACCCTAATATCAGTCAGACAAGTGGAAACCCTGCCATTTTTGATTTTGAATATCCTCCGCTATGTAGATGCCATTTCCAGATCCTCAGCCATGAATGTGTCAGTCACTTTGGGTGATTATCTCAGGCTTCCTGATTAGGAGGCAATCCTGGAAAATACTCAAATCTGGAAGTGAGGTGGGGAGAGGAGAGCTGAGGATGAGGGAAAACAACCAAGGTGGATCAACAAGATCAGAGTCTCATAAAAATGCCATCTGGCCATGAGTCCCTCATCCTCATTAAGGCAAGGTAGCACCTCCCTTTCCCCTTCCAACCACCTGGAAGGAAACAGATTGCACTTACAGTTGACTCTTCCCTATTAAAATACGATTTCTTTTTATTATTTATTTATTTACTGAACATCATCAAAGGGTTCAGTGTTCATGGGGTGGTGGCTGCCTTATGGTTACCACATCCTGGCAGTGGGGGCCCTAACATGTTGTTCATACAGACATTTCTCAGCCAAGAGATGCTTATTTTGTAAAGTAATTCCCCCCCCCAATCTTGATGAAACTTTCCCTTTCTTTTTCCTTAAAGTCATCCTGATCTTGCTGAGCAATAAGGTGTTATACAACTGGGTCCAATGGCAAATCTCGCTAATGTAAAATCAAATTCATGTTAAAATTGAATAATCTGGCTGGGTGTGGTGGCTCACACCTGTAATCCTAGCACTCTGAGAGGCCAAGGTGGGAGGATTGCTTGAGCTCAGTAGTTCGAGACCAGCCTGAACAAGAGCAAGACCCTGTCTCTACTAAAAATAGAAAGAAATTATCTGGACAACTAAAAATATATATAGAAAAACTTAGCTGGGCATGGTGGTGCATGCCTGTAGTCCCAGCTACTCGGGAGGGTGAGGCAGAAGGATTGCTTGAGCCCAGGAGTTTGAGGTTGCTGAGCTAGCACAGACTCTGTCTCCAAAAAAAAAGTTGAATAATCTGTGCATATCTACTACACCATGTGATCTGAACCAACTAAGCTTTCTGTCTTGAGTTCTTTATTAATTAAATAGTAAACTGTTACCTGGTTCCATTGGAAGTTCTGCAAATTAATTACTGTTTGGAAAATTTAAATCAGTTTATAAACACCAAACAGTTGCATCTTCCCTGCTGAGAGGGCCTAGGTAATTCATAACCTCCTACAATAAAGGTAAAAATAGTATACTTAAGCAATACAATCAAATGTGATTTATATGTAATACATATAATCTTTAAAATCTAGAAACCATTTAATAGAAACAATTCATATTTCATAAGTATAATAAAAGCATTTTATGACTTTAGGAAAAGTAATTATCTACAATAACTGATCTGGACATCATGTCTTTATAATCGTTTCTGAGAGCTGCAAAAGAATCTATTCAGAGTTCATCTTTAACCTGTTAATATTGATTGATATGTTTATCTTTAAATTCCGCCATTTTTTTAACCTCAAAACGCTAATATTTATTTCCTGGGAAATTTTTCTGTACAAAACTTTGCTGTATTCAAAACCTCCTCTGTTAAGATTTAACACTTTTATATTGTAGTCATTAAAATTGAACAAAATCTTAATAGTTCCTTTATTAACTACTGTACTGACTTTGTATAGTGGAAATCACAACATGTTAATTGGATTTAATTAAGTATTTTAAATTACACAAACTCCTGACAGTCGTAGACAATAGCACAGGGTACTTATGAGCAATAAAATTGGAGCTGATATTGTTACTTTATTAAAACTTAATGAAACTATTCATAATCTTATTTATTGTTTACAAGACGAAAACTGTGTTCACTGTGAAGGCAAAAATGTCTGCTGAAAACAAATTTTTGATCATCTAGGTGACGCTTCAGAAGTTAATAAAGGGGTCCACCATATCCAATCTCACGGTTCTGCCATCTTCTCGCCGCACAGATCCCTATTTCACCCCCATACCAGTCTTACAAGTGGATGCCAAAAAAGGTTGGTGATTTAATAGCTACTTTATGTGTTTAGGAAGATAAGGGAAAGAACATTGAGGTAGGATCTGGGGCCTGAGTTTGGACTCACTCAGCCGCCAATTCTAATTCTCCTAGGTGGCCTCAGACAAGTTAGGTCTGCAGTCTGGCGTGAGTTTCCTCTTCTGTAAATCACAAGGTTGGACTAGTTGATCACTAGAGTCCCTTCTACCTCTAAAATTCATCATTCTATGGATTCGATATTGATTTAGATATTGTTATTACATATTAAAATGATTATTGTATTTATGTGATATTATTAGAATTTATCAAGCTCCTGAGCAGATCATGATACTATTCTGGTAGCAATGAAAAGCTATGTCAAAGACTATCAGTGGCCAATTTACAAAAGAGGAAATATAATGGTCAATAAATATATGAGAACATATTCATCCTCTGGGACCTGGGGAAGTAAAAATTATAGTAAAGATAAAGTGCTATGTTATACTCATCCAACTGACAAAAATGTAGAAGTAGTAATGTTAAATGCTGACAAAGATGCAAGGATATAGGTACCTTATGTAAGGCCAGTGAGAATGTGACTTGCCTCAGTCCTTTGGGAAAGTAATCTTAGAGTATATGTGAAAGTTAGAGTATGCATATGCTTTGACCCAGCAATTCCAATTTATGGCTTTGCCTTATAGAAATAAAAGCATTATTTTTAAAGCAAAAAAAATTTATTTCAATATACTATTATGCATAAATATGAAGCCAGAATTTATATAACTAGCAGTTAAACTATGCATGTCTTCATCTAAATTCTAGTCTTTTGAAATCAGTGGATTTCATTTTTAAGCAAAAGGATCTCATATTTGTCTCGGTGTCTCTAGTGTCTATAACAATATCCACCATTTTGTAGCTATTAAATGTTGGTTGAATGAATAAGTAAATGAAAGAGTAAGCAAATAACTAAAGACTAAATGTCCTAAATATATTTAACATATAAATATAGAAAAGTACCCTCTGTACTTTTCCCTGCTATGTAATTTAACTGAAGTGTTAAAGGATGCCTGAGTGGATCCCCTTGCCTGTCTCACATATAACTGAGTGAGATGGTCTTTAATTACTTCTATCTCACTTTCTATCTGTTGTCTCAAATATTTGGGACTCAGATTTGGTTCTCAAGGTTCCCAAGGATTCTTCCGGCATCTGGAGATTCAAAGTTCTCCATCTTCTAGCTACTGTATCCTCTGTCTGTTGACCTCTGTCTGCTGGTGGTGGAAAACCCAGGAAAAATGTGTACCTGAATTTGTTAACCTTCCACAATTGTAATCATTACTTCCCTAGTTATGAATCATTCTTCAGTAATCTTTGTGATGTATGCTTTCTAGTTAACTTATGTAATACTTACTCCCTGGGAATACTGAATAACACCAGCAGAGCTCCTATTTCTTGCTTTAGTACCATGTTATATTCTTCCTGGATCAAATTAGGGTGAATGAAATAATGAATGAATGAATCAATCAATCAATTCTTCCTTTAGCAATAGACACAATAAAAAGTTGCTACAAATAAAGGCAAATCTATTAATAGAATCATCACAACTGGTCTAGAAAAAAATCACATTTTCATCTCCAAATTATCTATGAGAGAACACATGGCCTACCATAATATTTGTAATTAATGAAACAATTTAATCAACATATATTTGTTAAGTAGTTGTCATATGTCTGGTATTATGCAAGGTAACATGAGTGTCAGGAAACCATAAGCCACAGAAATGTAATACATTTTTTAGGTGTTCCTAATGTCCTTAAATGTCATTTAAGCCTCACTTCAGGTCTATAGAAGTCCACCAGGAGGTGAACTATTAATAACATCCAGAAGAGAGAATCATTTTGAAAAATATACTGTTAACTTCTCTGCCTTGTCTTGAATTATCTGTCCAAATCTAAAAAACAAAGCTTTTTTCCCCAAAATGAAATTTATATTAAAAATACACATTTCACAGTATATAGACCAGGTTTTCAATTCAGGCTCTGTGTGACCTCAGGCAAGTTGCTCTCTGATGTTAGAATAAGCTCTAAGCTCTGTGAACAAGTCATGCCTGACCCAGCCCTCACCTACGTCTCCATTCTCATCCCACGGCTCCCTCTGGGCTCAGCTTCATGGCCTTCCTCTCTCTTCCCCCATAGGCCAAGCACATTTCCAGATCAGAACTTCACAAGTGCCTCTACCTATGCCCTTAAAAGTCACTTCCTTAAGCTCTTGCCCTTTTCCTTCAAACATTATCACAATTTATAATAATATATTTATTTGTGAATGTATTTAATGTATTCTCCATCACTAGAGGCTCTGTGAGGTCTCTCTGGTTCACCACAGTATCTCTAGCCCCCAGAATAGCTCCTGACACATGATAGGCACTTAACCAATATTGGTTGAATGAAAAACAGAATAAATGAACTTCCAATTCCTAATTTATTCAACAGGAAAGTAAGAGTGTTATGAGGATTTAATAAAATAATGGTGTTAAAGGATAATTTTAATTTTGAAAATCAGGTAAAATCATGACTCTTATACAATTATAAAATGAACACAGATCAAAGATTTTAACTCACAAATTAAAAGAGAAAATCTATAAGATGTCATAATCAGCTCAAAAGAGAATCCAAAGACCACACACATTTGTAGATCAGGAATATTGAAATATATTTATAAACAAATGCAAAATTGCCTTTTCCATGAGAAGGCGAATTCCCTTTCACCAGAAATAATTTATCTTCAGGTCTATAAATAAGAATTATTTGCATTATTATCAGTTTTGTTTTGTTTTATTTTATTTTTTCCAAATTAACCTTAATCTTTATAGAGTTATAAAATAGCCTAGTCAAAGACTAGGTTCAGATAATCCCTGGAGGCTTCAGCAATCCATTGAAAGGGCATCCAGTAATCTCTTTGGCTTATTCCAAATTAAAAAAAAAAAATTCTTACAATCTTATCTTCTTTTGATCAAAATTATTTCGGAAAGTATTCACAAAATAAGGCTTGTCTCAGTAGGTTTGGCCTGATTATTTACATAGGTGCAGTGAGAGTGTTAATTCACCATGTTAATTCACCAAACCTCAATGTTAATTCACCAAACCTCCTTAAGTTTGCTTTGCTGGAAGTTTTCATGAAGAATCTCAGACCAAACTTTTAAAACCCCCTATTATTTGCTATCCCAAGGCTAGGAAATTAAGCCCAAGAAACCTTGTTCACCAGAATTCAACTGTAGGAACTATGAATATGGGTAAATTCCTCTCTTCTAAAGATCCTCCAAATAGCCTGCAGGATGTGACCTTCCTTACAACCTGTGAGGATGGAAATTCTGTAAGCCATGTACCAGGCTAGTTTTTCTGGGAGGACTTTGTAAGCATTAAACCTGAGTTGTTTAAAAGTGACTTGTCATAGCTGATTAAATAAGCATTTTCTCACCCATGAAATCCCAGGGAAGGCCTTGGTTATATAAGTGATTTTTTTCTAATTATATATTTTACTATATTGCCATGAAAAGTAAGGAAACTCAGTGAGAGCTTCTGAATTTGGGAGGTAGAGTGAGCACATTCAAAGTATTAGAAGTTCAGTTTACTTATTTTCTGGGAACTTTAGGAATATTCAATTTCTATAAGCACTTATTTATCCCTGAAAGCCAATCAGAACAAAACTCCTTTAAGAGTCTTTACTATCTAATTTATTAATACTATCTGGAGGCAGGAAAACATTCTACACTTACAGTGAGAGAATAAAGGACTTTCTGAATTATAGATACATAGATATATAGATAAAGAGCATATTCCCTCAATTCTACAATGTCAGCCACAGATGAAAAATAAACATGAAAACACAAAAGCTTACCAGTCCAGATATCAAAGAGTTGTTCTATTGCTATAACAGCAAGAAATTCCTAATTGATTTGAGCTCAGAATAGATAAATGGACAAAGACTAACAAACTATATTCTCTTTTATCTCTTACCCAGCAGGAAATAGATCCTTATAAGACATTAATTCATTTACAGAGATCACCAAATTCTCAATCTTTGCAACTACCAACAGAGAATAACTTGTCATCCATAAATGAAATAAAAAGAAAACGAAATAGAGAGTAAAACTAAAATTAGAAAAACAAGAATCAAAAAGTTGTATTGCCACTGAAAATTCACCTGTGGGAGCCAAGAAAAAACATGCCTGGGCCTGTCCAGTACACCATTTCTCATGATTTCAGATGACTGTTTTGCTCTTCTAAATGGGCACTCCAAAACTGTTAAAGAATAATTTTTTTTTAAGTCAAGTCATGACTCTTACACAAATATAAAATGAACACACATCAAAGATTCTATTTAGCTTATTAATTAAATGAGAGAACCAGTAAGATGTTATAATAAATTCAACTGAAAATCCAAACAACAAAACACATTTGTAAATCAAGAAATATCGAAATAAATTTGCAAATGGATGCAAAACTGGCTTTTCAGGAGGAAGAGTTGTCCTTCCATGTGACAGAATTTATTTGCATAGGTATAGACAAGAACTATTTGCATTGCTATCAGATTTTTACAAATTAACTTTAATTATGACTGTGAACTAAAATATAATCTTTTTTTTTTTTTTTTTTTGAGACAGTCTCACTCTGTTGCCCAGACTAGAGTGCCATGGCGTCAGCCTAGCTCATAGTAACCTAAAACGCCTGGGCTCAAGCAATCCTACTTCCTCAGCCTCTTTGGTAGCTGGGACTACAGGCACCTGCCACCATTGCGGGCTAATTTTTTCTATATATATTTTTAGTTGGCCAATTTATTTCTTTCTATTTTTAGTAGAGACGGGGTCTTGCTCTTGCTCAGGCTGGTTTCGAACTCCTGGCCTTGAGCAGTCCTCCCGCCTTGGCCTCCCAGAGTGCTAGGATTACAGGCGTGAGCCACTACGCCCGGCCTAAAATATAATCTTAACTCCCCCAGCCAACTGAATGGACTCCCTCTTGGCCAAGGGGACCCCAGTAATACACTAAAGCTAAGTTGCTGGCCATGAGAAGGGAGGTCAGACATGCCTTCTCATGGCCCCTTCCTTTCTTGGAACTATTATCCTTTGTAATTCATTATCCGGCATAAGGCTATGCAAAACAAAGCTTAAATCAACCTGCAGGTCCTCAATTTACCTAATAGATTACTTGAGTCTGGTATATGTCCGATGGCTTGTCTATGATTAGTAGACTTCCTTAACTTAAAACATTCTAACCCTTTAGACAAAACTTCATTTCTTAAACCAATTATAAATCAAAGAATCTTTAAATGCACCTATAACCTTATGCCCCACTTCAAGATGTCCTGCCTTTTCAGGCTAAACCAATATATGCTTTCCATATATTGATTTATGACTTTATGTGTAATTTCTGTCTCCCTGACATGTATAAAATCAAACTCTAACCCAAACATGATAAGATCACCTGTTCAAGGTTTCTTGGGCATGGCTTCGGGCCATGGTCACCCATATTTGGCTCAGAATAAACCTCTTTAAATTATTTTACAGAGTTTGGGTTCTCTTCTGTTGGCATTACAGAACTGTAAAATGGACAATCAAAAACAAAGATACAGAACGCTATAGGGTCAGGTAATCCTCAGAAGTCCCAGCATTTCAATTAAAAAGATAACCTGGTAATCTCTTTTGCTTATTAAATACATATACATATTTTTCTAAAATTTAATGAATTGCTTCAACCAGTACTAAAGCAAGCATTAAAATCATGCTTATATTCTTTGGAATTCTCAGAGAACAAAACTGACTCTTGAGATGAAAACATACTGAATTTTAAGGAGCTTTGTTTTTCACATCTGCAAAATATAGTTCTTGGAAATAGGATTTGATATTTATAGGTGAAAAATATTTGTGAGGACAAAGAATTAGTCTTACTATTTTAAAGTAATTCAATCTAGTGTTATAAGTATTAGAACCTGAATTACCAATTTCAAAAAGGACTTAAAAAGAGTTATATTCTGGATCAATAGTTCTTAAGAGTACAAAAGATTAATCTGGAGTGCTTATTTAACATGTATGTTACTGGGCTGCAATTCTAGTGGTTCTCAAACTTCAGTACACATAAATATCTCCTGGAGGCTTTAATAATGCAGATTCTCAGGCTCAGATCTTGGAAGTTTGGACAGGTCTTCTTTTATAAAGTATGACTGATTATATTATACAGGGCATGGTTTCTAGAACATGGACTTTCAGAACAAAAGATCTCCTTAGTTATTAAGAATGTGTGCCTGATTTCTTTGAATTTTAATTTGATTCCTGTGCCCAGGAATCTCCACTTTTTTTCTTTTTTTTAATTCAGAATATTACAGGGAACAATGTTTATGGTTATATGAATTTTGTTTTGTACCATATGAGTCAAAGTTATACGCATGCCATCACCAGATAGTGTGCATTGTACCATTAGGTGTGAATTTACCCATCCTAAATCCCACCCTTCATCTGCTTGATTTCTGATGAATGTTATTTACATATGTGCACATAAGTGTTGATAGATAAGTTCCAATTTAATGGTAAGTACATTTAGTGTTTGTTTTTCCATTCTTGTGATACTTTACTTAGGAGAATGGTCTCCAGTTCCATCCATAATACAAGGGATATTAGTTCACCATTTTTTATGGCTGAGTAGTACTCCATATTATACCTATACCACATTTTATTAATCTACTCATGTTTGATGAGCACTTGGGTTGTTTCCACATCTTTGCAATTGTGAATTGTGCTGCTATAAGCACTTGAGTGGCAGGCATCTTTTTTATAGAATGTCTTTTTCTCCTTTGGGTAAATACCTTGTAGTGGGATTGCTAGATCAAATGGTAGTTCTACTTTTAGTTCTTTTAGATATCTCCATAGTCATTTCCATAGAGATTATACTATTTGCAATCCACCATAGTGTATGAGTATTTCTATCTCTCTGCATTCATGCCAGCTTTGTTGTTTGGGGCTTTTTGATAAAGCCATTCTCACTGGAGTTAAATGATATCTCATCATCGTTTGATTTGCATTTCTCTGATGATTAGAGATATTGAGCATTTTTTCATATGTTTGTTGGCTATTAGTCTATCTTCTTTTGAAAAGTTTCTGTTCATGTCTTTGCCCATTGTTTTAACAGCATTGTTTGACTTTTTCTTGCTGATTTGCTTGAGTTCTTTGTAGACCTGATTATGACCTTTAATCAGATGTATAGCATGGTGAATATTTTCTCCATTCTGTAGCCTATTTACTCTGTTGATTGTTTCCTTGGCTGTGCAGAAGCTTTTTAATTTAATCAAGTCCCATTTATTTATTTTGTTGTTGCTGTGATTGCCATCGGGTCTTCTTCAGAAATTCTTCTTGCCTAGGCCTATATCTAGAAGAGTTTTTCAACATTTTATTCTAGAATTCTTATGGCTCATGTCTTAGATTTCAGTATATTATGTAAGAGAGCAACAAGAAACTGTAGCCCTACCACAAGTTTATTGCAAGCAGTCCTCAAATTTCAGGGTTTCTGGCTTGAGTACAATAGATCACCTTAATGAAAATTTTGCCCCTGACAGCAGTTTTGTTCAATTATTCATTTATTCATTGATTTATTCATTTGTTTATTTATTTAACAATGCCTCTTATCCTTAAAAAGGGTTGGCACCAGCCATGGTGACACAGTATGAGGTCTAGGAATTGTAAATTACTTGCATTAATACTAACCAGGTTGTCTAGTTACACAATAATCATTTGGCATCATATCTCCTGGTAATATGAGAAATGTCTAAATAACTCCTTCTTTTATAAAGTATGACTGATTATATTATACAGGGCATGGTTTCTAGAACATGGACTTTCAGAACAAAAGATCTCCTTAGTTATTAAGAATGTGTGCCTGATTTCTTTGAATTTTAAAAAGAGTAACAATATTACTAATGATTGAAAATGTCATAAGTATAAAGAAGTTTTAGTTTGCCTTGAAATTATATTTCTACCTTAAAATGAAATTACCTTAGTGCAATTTCATTTCATGTTACTGCTATTGGAAATGACATTTTTCCTTGGGTTAGAATATTAAGCTTAAATGAATGTATACTGTAGCTATTTTTTCATGCAGAGGATTAAGGCACTTGATGAACCCTCACAAATAAGATGATGAATGAAGTAAGTTACACTTGTGAAATTTATAGAGCTCATACTTCATAGAATTGCTTGGGGTTAAACTCATATTCTATTATCCTTACCTTTTAGGGATTTTAAGCTTGATAGAACGAGGACTGATTCCACCAACAGCAAAGATTAACCTCAAGAATCCACCCATAGCACCCAGAGCAGCTCCTCTGCATAGTTTTGGTGAAGCACATAAGATTCCAACTGCAAGTAAGTTGTCCTTGCCTCTATGCTTAGTTGGGGGTACATAGAAATTACCTCTTCCCTAAATCTAGCCTTCTAGTAGCCAACTTTCATCCTCAATAATAGGACAAGATGAAAGTTATAATCCTCCCAAGTTTCACTTTACTGAATAAAGTAACTTTGGGCCAGGTGTGGTAGCTCATGCCTATAATCCCAGCACTTTGGGAGGTCAAGGGGAGAGGACCGCCTGAGGCCAGGAGTTCAAGACCAGCCTGAACAACATCATGAGATCCTGTCTCTGCATACATACAGACATGCATAGAGTAATTTTGGCTGCCTTTGTAAATTACATATTGAGGGCCTGTGCTCTGTGTGTTAGAAGGTTGGTATTTTCAAGGGCTTACAGTTTGGTTGGGGAAACAACACAGATATAATAAAGATAAATAACAATACAAGGTAGCATGGAATAAAAAACCAAAGGGATGTTAAAGTCTAGTGCTATAATTACTGAGATAACAGTAGATTTTAAAGAGGAAACGGGATGAAATAGGGAGTACTGACCTGGGAATTTACTGACCAGTTGTAGAACCTCAGCCAAGCCATTTACTTTTGCTGGGCCTTAGCTATCCCAGTTCAAATTAGAGGTTTGGGCTAAATTAACTCATCCATTCTACAAATATTTGTTGAATGCTTACTTTATCCAAAGTAGCACTTAGGTGCTGGGGCTCCAGTAGAGAATAAGTAAGACAACATTTCTGTTCTCATGGTGCTTATATTCTAGTGAGAGACACAGATAATAAGCAGGTAAGTAAATGAGAATTTAAGCTAGTGATTAGTGCTAGAAATAAAACAATGCAGGTTAGAGAGTGTTAGGGAGGAGGCTACTTTGTAAGGGAATGGCTCTCAGAAGAGGATGAGGTGTAAGCTGAGATCCAAATGAGAAAAAGCCAGTCATGCGAAGATCTAAGGAAGAGCATTTCAGATATATAAGAGCACAGGGACAAAGGCCCTGAGGACTAAAAAGGGGATGAGCAAGAAGGCCAGCATATGAGCAAGAGAGGAGATGAGGGTGCAGACGTGGAGCAGGATCACATGATATCGGCTAGAGCGGAGACTACAAGTTGTCCTCAATGTTCATTGTTCTCTACTTCCATAGAAATAGACTTGTGGGTAGGCACATGTCAGTGTGACTAAAGACAACATTTCCTAGCCTTCCTTACAGCTGGGTGTGCTATGTGACCAGGCTGTGGACAATGAGGATATAAGCAGAAGTGGATAGGGATAGAGTTAGGCTGTGCCCTTTAGAGAAAGGGGCATAGCTTCTGCTTTTCCTTTCCTCCCTCTGACTATGCCATCTGGGTTGCAGAAGTGACTATGAGAGCTGGACAAGAACTTTGAAGCCAAAGATGGGACTCCATGTTGAGTCTTGCAGATCTGCCCCATCAACCCAGGGCTATCTTCCTTTGGCCTATATGTGAGACAGAAAGAACTCTTAATTTGTTCAAACCACCCAGCATATCTTAAGATCTTTCATTTTAAGCATCTTAGACTATACCAGAACCAGCATGGTAGCCTTCCAAGCCATGGTTAGGAGTTGGATTTAGTACTAATGACAGTAAGAACCCACTGAAAGGTTTAAACAGGAAGATAAGGTGATCTGATTTATGTTTTAATAAGACCATTCTGATGGCTTTGCGGTTAATGAAGCATAGGGGAGCATGAGTGGAAGCAAGATGACTAGTTAAAAGACTTGCAGTAAACCAGAAACGATGGTGGATATCAGGAGGATGGCAGCAGTGGAGATGAAGAGAAATGAACAGATTCAGGCTATATTCTGGAGGTGGAGACATGAGGACTGGCTGATGTATAGGAATGAGGGAAAGAGAGACATGAAGGATAAATATGTATCAATATATGAATGTGTATGAATGCCCTTCAATTTTATATCTGTTTTGCTGTTGATGGGAATTTCAGTGGTTTAAACTTTAGGACTACTGGGAATAATATTACTATGGACATTCTTGTATGTGTCTTTTAATGGACATATGTATTTGTGTTGGATATGTATCAAAAAGTGGAATTGTTGAGTTATAGGGTAGTCATATGAACTGATTTAATAGATACTGCCAGTTTTCCAAAGTGGTTGTATTGATTTATTTTCTTACTAGCAGTATATGAGAGTTCCAGAAAAGTCATCTTTGTCAACACTTGATATTTCAGTTTTTAAAACTTTAGCCATTTGGAAGAGTCTGTTGTGGTATCTCTTTGTATGTTTAATTTCCATTTTCCTGATGACCAATAAAATTGAGCAAGTTTTTTGATATGCATATTGATCATTTGAGTATCTTCTTTTATAAAGTGAGTTAAGAATTTAACCTTTTTAAAAAAAATTGGGTTATTTTTATTTTTCTTAGTGATTTATAGAAATTATGTATATACTCTGTATATTAATCTTTTGACAGTTATATATATTGCAAATAATTTTTTCTATCCTGTGATTTAGCATTTTACTCCCACTGGTTTGTTTTAATTAAACTTTTGCTTTTGGGATAATTACAGATTCACATGCCATTGTAAAAAATATTAATATACAGAGATCCCTTGTACTTTTTACACAGCTTTCCCCAGCAGTGACAGATTGTAAAACTATAGTACAATATCACAACCAGGATATTGATACAGCCAAGATACAGAACATTTCCATCACCACATGTTGTCCTTTTATACCCACACCTACTTCCCTCTAACCCTATACCCCCTTAATCCCTGGCAACCAATAATCTGTTCTCCATTTCTATGATTTTGTAATTTCAAGTATGATGTATGAATGGAATCATACAGTATATATCCTTTTTGGATTGCCTTTTTTCACTCAGCATAATTCTCTGGAGAGTCATCCAGGTTGTTACTTAAATTAGTAGTTTGCTCCTTTTTATCACTGAGCAATATTCCATGTCTGAATGTACCATAGTTGTTACATCATTTACCTGTTGAAGGACATACAAGTTTTCAGCTATTATTAATAAAGCTGCTGTAAACATTTGTATACATGTTTTTGTATGAACATGTGTTCTTGTTTCTTTAGGATAAACACCCAGGAGTATTATTGCTGGGTCTTATGGTATTAATAGTTGCATGTTTATTTCCTGCATGTACATTTAGAACCACATCAGACAGTGTTATAATTTTTTGTTTCAACCACCAAATATAATTTAGAAAATTCAAGAGGAAAAGGAAAGTCTATTGTTTTTAACCATATTTTTGCTTACCATGTTCTTCCTTCCTTCCTAATGTTCCAAGGTTCGTTCTTTTATCATTTATTTGCTTTCTGTTTAGAGAATTTCCTTTAGCCATTCTTTTAAAGTCAGTATAATAATGATAAAATATCTTCGTTTTCCTTCATCTTAGAATGTCTTGATTTTCCCCTTCATTCCCGAAGGATATTTTCACTGGATATAGGATTCTGTGTTGGTAGTTCTTTTCTTTCAGCACTTGAAAAAAGTTGTGCTACTTCCTTTTGGCCTCCATGTTTTCTGACGAGGAAACTGCTTTTGAATTATTTTTACCCTGTACTAAAGTGTTGCTTTTTTCTGGCTGCTTTCAGCAATTTTTTCCTCTGTTTTTAGTTTTCAGAAGTTTGACTCTGATGTGTCTTGGTGTAGACTTCTTTGGTTCTGTCCTGTTTCAGTTTGGCTCACCTTCTTGAATGTGTAGGTTTATGTATGTTGCCAAATTTGGGGAGCTTTCAGTCATTACTTATTTGAGCACTTTTTTCATTCTTGCTCTCTATCTCTTCTTCATCCAGGACTATGATGATACAAATGTTAGATCTTTTGTTATAATCCCACAGGTCCTTGAGGCTCTATTCACTTTTTTAGAGTTTTTTTTTTTATGTTGTTCAAATTGAGTAATTTCAATGTTTCTATCTTCTTGTTCATTGATTCCTTTGTCTCCTTCATTCTGTTGTTGAGCTCATCCACTTGATTTTGTATCTAAGTTATTGTATTTTTCAGTTCTAAAATTTCCATTTGGTTCCTCTTTATATATGTTGTTTCTTTGTGGAGACTTTCTGTTTCTTTGCTGAGACTATATTTTTTCATTTGTTTCAAGTATCTTTGTACTTGCTTACGGGGGCATTTTTTATGATGGCTGCTTTAAAACTTTTGTCAAATAATTCTAAGGTCACTGTCACTTCAGTGTTGGTATATATTCATTATCTTTTTTCATTCAGTTTGAGGTCTTTCTGGTTCTTGGTATAATGAATAATTTTCAATTGAAATTTTGACATTTGGGGTATTATGAGACTCTTGTTCTTCTTGAAATCTGTTTTAGCTGGTACCTCTGACACCCTATTTATTCCCTATCCATTTAAGGAATAAGCCCAATTAGTTATGATATATCATGTATTGCTGGACTTCTTTTGCTAATAATTGTTTACAGTTTTTTGTTTTGTTTTGTTTGCATTTTTGTTCATATATGAAACTGGCCTAAAATGTATTCCTTTCCTATAATGTTTCCCTTAGGTTTAGTATCAATGTTAGTGTTACCTTAGTGGGTGAATGCTATCTTTTTTAATAGTCTCTGGAGGAGTTTGGATAAAATTGGTTCTATTTATTTCTTAAATATTTGGGAGAATTTATCAGTGAGGCCATTTAGACCTATAGTTTTCTTTAGGAGTAGGCTTTTAATTGTGGATTTAATTTCTTTTAACAGGTACAGGGCTATTTTGATTATCTCTTTTGTCTATGTTGGTTTAAAAAGTTAACTTTATATAAGGAATTTGTCCGTTTCAACTAAGTTTTCTAATTTATTGCAATAAAGTTGTTTACAGTATCCTCTAATTATTTTTGTCATGTCTGTGGGATCTGTGATGATGTGCTTTTTCATTCCTCTGTTGATTATGCCTGCATTTCTCTTTTTTCTTGATAAGTATCTCTAGGTGTTTATCAATTTTACTAGTATTTTCAAAGAACCAGATTTTGACCTTATTGATCCTTTCTACTGTTTATTTATTTTCTATTTTATTG